CATCTTATACAACAATTTATTGCCCACGGTTAAATCTACTGCATCAAAGTAGGTTATATGGAAAATGTACTGAAGAACAGTAACAAAGTTCTGGCTCTGCAGAAAACCCAAAAGAATCTGGTGCAATAAAAGCTCTTCCTCTAACCTCCTGAAAAAAAAAAAATTATCTTTCTATCTGCTCTGAAATCCAGTTTCTCCTCCCAGGCCTGCTTTTAATTTGCCTTGTGATTCTCTGCCAGTTGTAACAGCAACTTATTTGTCTGGATGTGCGTCTGTGAGGAGGACCAGATGTCGGCCTGTGAGGCCAGAAGAAGGAAGTCTCTGCAGCGGGTCGACCATGAACAGGATGTCACTGCTTCAGAAAGGAGCCACTCGTGTCTCAGCTGTCGTTATTTCCTTCTTTATCTCCCTGTTGCTGCTTCAGACTCCCACGACGTCTCATTTACCCTCCTCTGCCCTGAATCCTCTTCCTCTCACCTTCCTCATATTTGTCGCCGTGAGGCGGACAGATGTGTCTGTTGATCAGGCTTCCTTACCTGCTGGCCGTCCGGCACCCAAAGGTCACTTCGTCAAACTCCAGCCTGGATCCAGAACACTTTCCTATCGGGGCGAGGAGGAAACTTGGTGTCATGACACTGCAGACGGAGAGGAAGAACCGGCGATTGGAAAGAGAGAAAACAAGCAGAACATCTTGACTCAGACGTCTAATGGCCGTTTGGCTGTTCCCAATAAAAGCAGTGATGTAGGATCGTGTGTCGTCCATGTGTGACCAGCCGGAGTTCAGCGGCTCCATCTCTCTCTGCAAACCGCAAAGGGAAAAACGCCAGACTGATGTTTTCCTGCTCCGGTTTGTTTGCAGAGAAACAAAGGATGTAAACAAGAGAACAGCAGCAGCTGATCATCAGGACAAACTTATTAAAATGATCATATTTGCATCTTTAATGGTTTGATTTTAGTTATGTTAAAAAGAAAGAGCAGATTTCAAAAGGATGTGCAGTTCAACAATTTAACATTAAATTCAAGCAAATAAAGTTACATTTTTAGCTTTTTATTGTGAGAAAGGAATATTTTTCTACAACAGAATATTATAGTAAGAAGAAATAAATAAATAAGGTCAGAATAAAGTCAGAATATTGTGACGATAAAGTTGAAATAATTTTACTCTCATTGCAAATAAATCATTTCCATCTAAAAATGCTGCAAATGTAGGGGCCACATTTTTAAATCGCTACAAATAACCAAAAAATCAGTCCAGGAGCCATAAAAGGCCCCCGACCCGCATTTTGGACACCCCTGATATAAATGAGCTCTCAGCATAACAGCCAACATATTCCACTGTTCACCACAAGTGGAATATAATCCATTATTACTATTACAGGCACTAAATTCAGTCTATTTTAAAACTATCTAAATGAGATTGAACATAAAATATCACTTAGGAAGGTGGAATAAAACAATGATGTATAGTTTTTGTGTTTTTACAAATAAAAATCAGAAGGGTCTGGAATGCATTTGTGCTCAGTTGATTTTATGCTCCTATAACTTAGATAAATCAGCTGCCATTAGCTCTAACTGCCTTTAAAAGTCATTTCATTAGAACGCCCAGGACTGGCGTTAAAAACAATGTACAAGGAATTACAAACTCCTATTATTCTGCATTTTATGGAGTCTGTGGGTTTTGTAATGGGAGTTTGCTTCTGTTAAAATGTCTCTCCAGCAAATTGGAGCGCAGAAGTGAAAAACTAAAACTGAAGAGTCGTGATTTTCTGTGGCGCGCAGCCATAAAAAGGAAAAGGCTCTGTTGTGGAAATGACCGTCTGGCCTGGAAGAGTCAGAACTGACAGGAAGTTTTAATGAGCGTAGATCCATAAACGGGCCACAAGAAATTCCCACTTAACGCCAAAACCTCTCTGGTTTCTCCTGGAAAGCAGCAGATCACAAAGAAACATTTTTACTTGAATGGAAATAAAAAGCTATTTGGTAATCAGTTCACTTTTGTGCCCATAATCAGAGAATCCCTGATAGATCTGAATTAATAAACATGGTTTTGATCAACACTCTGGCAGAAATGCTTCAGTGTTGTCAGATCTATTTCTCAGATGTTTCTGGAGTTCAATAATAAATATTTCATATTCCTCACAAGTTTTTCTTAACAAGCGAATCAATCAATAATTTTCAGTTAGAAATCAGCTTGTAGGCAAAACCAAGCAGATTTGCAACAATACCTGCAGTTTCTCATCTTCATTCCGTCTGCTCCTCTTTTATCAATCAATCAATCAATCAATCAACCAATCAATCAATCAATCAATCAATCAATCAATCAATCAATCAATCAATCAATCAATCAATCAATCAATCAATCAATCAATCAATCAATCAATCAATCAAGTTTATATTTTGCCAGTTCAAAGAGCTTCACAACATAAAGTCAGTCATAGAAAACAATGGAGAAAACATTTAACATTTCATTTCTTACAGTTCAGAAGAAACTCCAGGCAGGTGGGTTTCAGTCCAGATGTAAAGGAACTCGGCGTTCCGACTGTTTTTCACTTTTCTGGAAGTTTATTCCTTCTAATGATTGACAGGTTATTGGTAGGATTAAGACCTGTGCCGTGTCTGGCTCAATGTTTCGATTTTCTGGTCATTTTGTTTCCACTTTTCAAACTTTCCATCGTCACTAAAGTTCCCATCAGAAACGACTCCGGAGTCAAATCCCAGTTCCTCCGTTTTCCAGACGTCCCAGACGTTCTGACGGAACTTCCTGGAAGAAAATGACTTTCCCAGAATTCTCTGCTGTCCATCTCCGCCTGTTGTTGATGTTTCTGTTGCAGAGAAGATTCTTCTTCCTGCTGATCTTCACACCAAACCAGGATTCAAACCTTGAAAGCTGCTGCCATCCCTGAGCAAGCTCTGCACCGGCGGCACAAACTGTCTGGGTTTGGTGCCACCTCCTGGATGGCAGACTCATTTTCACAGAAACCATTAAAACTGTTCATCAATATCTGTCTGTATTCAATAAATGCCTCTTCAAATCAAAGAATTTTGAATCTTTTTACATTAATAAGTTTAATCAGAATTTCATTGTTGTTTTTTGTGCTTTTTTGCAATCAAAATAACTGATTTTGTCAAGAAATCTTGCAATATTTATGCCTAACTCAATACACCTTTGGGCCATTGTTGATAGTAAAATAAATGTGAACATTTCTGCTAGAAAAACTCTGAAATTTTGAATTAATCTTAGAGATTTTAGGAGAAAATCTTGAATTTTTTCTGAGTGCGAAAAGTCAAAAAGTTGTTTGCAAAAAAAGCAAAATTTTGAGATTAATCTCTGAAATTTTCATGCATTTTTCTGCATAATTTCTGAGTTTCAAAAGCCTAAAAATGTAAAATTTTTGAAATGCAGAAATGTCAAAGTTCTTAAAATTTCTGAGTTATTCTAGGAAGGTTGTATTGTTTTCTGTAAAATTGTTGGAAAGTTTGACCTTTGTCATCTTCAGTACAGAAACTTTTTACCCTTGTTTTTGTAATTGCAATGGCTTTAATATACCGTCACACTCTTTTGTAAGATGTCCAATATGATTTTTTGTCACTCACCGCATCGACCAGACTGGAATCTGACATAAAGTTAGTTTGAGGCAGCAGCATCATAAAAGTATGAAACACCGCCACCTAGAGGAGGGAGTTAGCAGTTGCTTAAACCCAGGGTTTGTGACCATTTTTTAAAGGAAAATTTGCAATAAACTCACAATCATACATTAAAAATGCAGGAATTTGTTGATTTTGGATGAATTTCTGCAGGACTGATTGACATTTGGAGACCAGAAGGCCACATAAAATGCTGTGAGGGACCGGATTTGGCCCGCGGGCCTCAAGTTTGACACATGTGTTCTAAATAGTAATTTCACACAGACATACATACAATGTGATGACTGCTTGATTTTGGTTTATTGGACGTAATGCTTCCATGCACATCTGTTATTTTCTAGCATAAAGTCTAAAAGCTGCTGATGAAACTTTTCTGGTCATTTTGAACCAGGACCAAAATACAATCAAAAAGACTTTTAGTAATAAAGCAAACTTTAAAAGACAATAAAACTGTTTCCAACTGGTTCATGCAGTTGATTTCTCTGCACAGTAATATGGAGACAGTGAGGAATGTCACTACTTTCATGCAATCTTAAAATCTGACATTTACTGAGTTTGATTGCAGTAAAGGAGAGCATTAAATAATTGATAGTTTATCAATTAGTTACTCAATTATTAAACTGAAACATTTTCCAGTAAGAAGTTCTGTAAATCATTTTAGATCCAAACCATATAGCTTTTTGTTTTATTATTATTTGGGGTCAATTTTCTTTCTATTACAATAAATGCAAACATCTCAAAGAACCTCAAAATACAAATATTTTTAAAGATGACTTTTATTGAACATTTATTTAATCAGATAAAAAACTAATTGAGATCAAGACTTATTTCACAGGCAGCACACATTATGATAGACAAGTAAATAAAAATAACAAAAACAGAAGTTCATAAATGCCAACAATTTGACTCTGATGGGCAGCAGTTGTGACAATGTTAATTTAAACATTTTTAAAATTTTAAGATTTAAAACAGTCACTGTGTGAATGTTTTATTATTATTATTATCATTGTTTAAAATGTCAATTTGCGCAATTTTAAAGGTTGAAAATGTCTCGTGCCATTTCTCCTCAATGCTCCAGGTGAGATACTGACCACCGAGAGCTGCTCCACACATCCCCACTCAAAACAAGACTGGAAAAGTAAAATCAGACTAGGATTTTAAGTTTCACTTTTAGAACCAGATGATGGAAAGTTTGCAGTAAAGTTTGCAGTTTGCTCAGTCAGAGACATGGTGACGGTGCTGCAGCTCTTCCTCCTCCTTTTCCTCCTCCTCCTCCTCGGTCCCTGGTGTTGGGGCTCGGTGAGAGGGCATAGTCACGTCACGCAGGGCTGGTCTGAAGGCTTATTATCCCGGGGAACCGAGCTGCAGGCTGCCTCATTCTGCAGCTCTAGGCTGTCCGGCGAACTTCGCCCAAACTTTCTGGAAACTCAGTGAAGAAACAGAAACTCTGACAAAGTGACGCAACGCGCGTCCATCAAACTGCAGCTGCTTCCCCCTTAATGATCAGAGCTTCTCCTCTGAATGAGCCTCCTCTCGTTGCGCTGAGACTTTCTTTTAATTTGAGCCTCAGGTTGAGCTCCAGCTCCTCTCGTCATGTTATCACTCGCTCTCCTGCTTGTTGGATTTGTTTTGGCTGCAGCTGACAAGGTAAGTGTCTGCACCGCGACAATTCAGTCATTTATTTCGCTTTATTGTCAACTGGATGCAGAAGAAAGTGGGGCAGCAGCTTTCACAAGTTTCCCAGCACGCACACTGCTTCCTCTGTGCGCTGCGTGTTGACACTGCGCCACGCGTGGGTTCAGCCTGTCACACACACGAGCTGCAACTTACAAACATGTTTCTGTTTGAGGACTCAGCGCCAGCGAACCGGGCCTGCCCGAGGCAGAGTGAACTTTGCGACCTGCTCAGTGGCTGCAGCCCCACAGAGAAGCGAAAGCCCACCTGACATGTTGGGAAATGCCAGGAAGGGCTTTTAGGGCGTTAGCCCAGGGCGTCAACTTTTAGGGGCGTTAAATCTTTTTTGTTTTGTACCTAATGTAAAACTCATAAAATCACACGAGCTGCATTTTTTTTTATGAATACAAACAATATTCAAGTATTTGAAAAATTTATTGGCTCCAGCCCACATCCTCATAAATCCGGCCCGGATTGTCTAACAGAAACTGTGATGTGTTGGGAGAGTCGGGTTTAAAAGCTTGCTTATGTTTGTGTTTTCTACATTGATCATGAACTTTATTTAAAATATAAACTCAGACATAGATGTGACCGTTTGATGTGTGGTTCCAGATTATAGCAGAATCACATCTGCAGTTTCTGGAAAACTTACAAAAATGGATATGCAATAAAAAAGACTGAAAATATAAAACTTACAACCTGCTTTCTAATCGCAATAAACCAAAACGCATGCAACAGATATTTACCATAGCTGCTTATGAGTAACTCTAGTTAACTAAAGTTGAGAATCATGTAAAAAAGTGAAAGCAAAGCAGCTAAAAGTTGCAGAAGAAATGCAACAATCGCTGAATCAATCTGGTTTTACAAGTTCAAACATTCAGCAATAATTTCTTCCTCCATGTTTTTATTGAGCAATGCATATGCTAATAAACAGGTGGGATTTCTGTCTGATTTCCGATGGATCTCATTTCCGTCCAGCATTGATGCTGACATGTTGGCAGGTTTGCATCAGTGCTGCCGTTTCTCCAAACAGAAGAGTTTCTGTGATGCCTTATGCTACCATGTGGTCGTTGTGGAAACCTCACTTTTCTTCACAATCAGTTCAGCGAAACAAAATCATTTCAAGCTAATGCTACTTAATAGTGGAGGGAAATTCAAATATTGACGCATAAATACAAAAAGGAAAAAAGGAGATGCAGCTGAAGCTAATTAGACTGAGGAAACATTTAAGTAAAATCAATAAAACTGATTCTTACAGAAACTGGTCTGGCTGAAGTGAATGTAGAAACTGTAACATGTCCTCATTCTCAGGTCATTGTGTGTTCTTTAAAATCTAATTGTTTAATAACTGTAGGGTAGAAAGTTTTTGTTTTGGTGAGCAGAAACCATCGGATCTCCCCTCAGCTTCCTGGAAAGATGATCTTTTTAGCACAACTCCTCACTTTCCACGTCCATCAGAAATATTCTTCTTACAAACCTATTTATTTAGTCCAGAAATGGGTCAGTTTACCATCTGCAGCTGCAGGAAACGGCAGGTTTGATGCTGCATCGTCACCCATATATGGTAGTATTTTCTGTTTTAGAGCGCGCATCGCTCTGAGCATAATTTAAAAAATAATTTTTGTACACCGATTGCAGTTTTCTGGCCGATTACTTGTTTAAAACCGGCCTTGCTGATTCTGATTTGCTGAATTTGGCAGCAGCGCAGACATGACCTGGCTTTGCTGGCCAACAAATTGTTCCAGAAATTATCGCAATAAACGATAATATTGGTGTTTTGAGACCATTTTCAGGTAATGTGATGGTGATGAAATATAAAAATATAAGAAACTCTAAATTCTAATGAACATTTAACGCTTTATGCTTCTTCACATTTCTGAAGTCTGTTCTTCTTTCCCCTGCAGGCTGGTGAAGCAAACCGTGAAGGTAAGACCTGCTTCTTCCCTCCATGTTATGAATTCAATCCAAACTCCAGTTCCAGGTTTTCTCTTCCAAACTGCTGACAAGTTCAGGAGGAGAACTGCACACTGATCAAAGTGGGAGGAGAGTTTTTTCTGTTGAGCAGTTCTGTAACGCACTCCCGTCCCCTCCCCTCACACACACACACACACACACACACACACACACACACACACACACACACACACACACACACACACACACACACACACACCACACACACACTCCTGACTCCCCCGACTCACACACACTTATACAGCAACTGCTTAAAGGGCTTTGTTATAAAGGAAAGAGAATTCCACCTCTAAATCCTGCACATCTGTTCTCCATTGTGAGGTTAAGGAACCATTGAGCTGCAGCTGAGTCCACGTAGGATCCGTTTACGTCCGCAGTTATCTCTGAACACGTCTGGGCCGCCGCGCAGCGGGGCAGCGCTGGGCTGTGGTGCAGCGTTTGTGGCTGCCACTGTTGGCTCTCTGTGGCCATTATCGGCCTTGTAAAGCAGCCGCCGCGCTCGCCTCATGTGGTTTCTGCTTAACTTTTCACCTTTTTTCTGCCCCCCTTCATGCTGGAACCGACTGAAATCTTTGCCAAGAACAGCAACATGTACCACTGCAGATTATGCCTTTATTTGCCAATAGGACTTCACGTAGGGTGCATTCACACTGGCAACCATGTTAATCCACTTTCCTCATGTTATAAATGAAATAATCGCCCAACGGAACAAATACAATTTCACAAACATTAAGAAATTATTGACTTGAAACTAGCTTCCATTTCTTGCTGCAGAGTTACTTGGAAGTTAGAAAACTTTAAATCAGACAAAACTAAGATATTTGCAGAAGAAAAGAGACCAAAATATTTGCTAAGATTTTGTGTTTTTGCAGTATTTTTACAACACCTTGCTAAAGTATTCATACTTTACATACTGAACGTCCAAACAGTTTCACGTTCAGAACCAGAAATGCATTTTATGGGACTTTGTGTCAGGCCAACAAAAAGTTTTACATAATTTCGCATTTTTCTTCTGTTAAAATAAAAACCTGCACAGCATGGCGAGCGTCTGCACTCAGACGCCCTGAGTCAGCACTTTGTCAAACTGACTTTAGCAGCAAGCTCTCTGGAATATGTCTTTGCCTCTTTGCAGAATAAATCCACTTTGCTCAGATTTAAATGGAGTGTAACTGTAAGCAGCAAAATTTTATTCTTGCCAGAAAATTTCAACTGAGTTAATGTCTAGACAGGATCGTAAACCTGGTCTGAACTGTCCTGCTGTAGCTCTGGCTGCATGTTTAGAGTCACTGCCTTGCTTCAAGGTGAACCTTTTTGTTGGTTTCAGACTGAAAACACTTTAGACTGCATTCACACTGGTCCTGTTTGGTCCGCTTGAATCAAACTCTGGTTTGTTAGAAAGTCCGGTTTGTTTGGGGATGTGCGGAAAAACTCCGGTCCCTCTACAAACCTCGGTCTCGGTTCGGTTGAAGTGAACTCTGATTCGGTTTGGATGCGTATGTGAACGTAGCTGGACTGGAGATCGCTCCAAAAGCAGGAAGTGGACTACAGTGCAGGGCATTCTGGGTAAATGCCCCCAGACCAAAAACTCTAGCAGGAAAAATAGCTTGTGTTTTTTAGCAAAGACAAGAGAAATCCTAAAACAGCTAAAATCTGATGCTGTTTAAGTTTCATAGATTATTAAATTTCTCCTTCAGAGGTTTTCATGTCGAGTCCTTCAGTGGTTCTTGATTTAAATGTTTAATTCTGACAGTTTTTCCTCCAAACTGTGAATCTCTGAAGGGTGAATTTGAGATTTTTGAGGAAAAAAGTCACGTTTCTTTTTTTTTCTTTTAATGGCCGTTAATCTTTTCTGTACATATTAAATATTAAGAGATTATCAGATTTTATACTGATGGTATAAAAAGCCTCATATTTAGTGATTTTACTGAGCGATTTCCAGTGAAGCCATAACATTTCTGTTTGACGGAGTCGACCCACTTCTGGCCCGGCGGGCAGGCGCAGCCCAGGCCGATCGGTTCCTCTGCATTTCCTGGTTCTGCCTGAGCAGCGGCATGTTTGACGTCAACCCACTGGTTTCCTACTGGGCCGAGGTGGAGAGGGACTGGCCTGGCTGCTGCACACCATCAATCCTGCTGGTCTGAGACCCAGATGCTGCTGGCTGCTTGACTCGTGTGTTTAGGGCCCTTTTCTTTCACATGGTGGAAAAAATAAGCACATGGCCTACCTAGCATTACAGCTAAGGGGTTAGCATGTCAATGCTGCACTAAGCCCGACTGTTTCAGTTCAAAGTCAGGTTTATGTGTGGATTATAGTTCTTTAATTAAGTGAATTCATTGGGGAGACATTCAGGGAGAAGGTTGTGAGTTTAAATCCCAGCCTGGGGTCTTTCTGCATGTTTGCTTCCTGTGTGTGTGGACTCTGAACAGACAAAATATTCTTATTAGGCCACCTGGTTACATTAGCTTTCAGTGTGTGTGTGTTTACACTAAAGATGCTAATAAAAATGTGTATGATCTTGAGTAAATAACAGCTGTGTGTGTTTGAAGAACCATTATTTACTGAACTATTAAAGTCTGGCCCCTTTTCCAGGTGCTACATATAAAATCCACCTGACAAACTCGCAAACAAAATGGCATTGATAAATTAAATTATAAACTTAGTTTATATGTTGAAACATTAACAGATGTATCACACACAGAACAGGCTTTCAGCTGCCTATTCTGCTGTACTTTTCCTTCCACTAAACTTTCCACACATACCTAGCTGCAGCTTCTTCATCGGCCGCCGTCTGCAGACGGAGTGTTATTGACTGAATGCTGCCTTCCTTATGGTAGCAAAACATTTCTCCATATTTTAAATTGGCTTAAAGTAACATTATATTATAATTTTCTCAGAAATTAAATATTTGTTATTCACTAGCCGTTAAGTGGTAATCACGCAAATTTCCAGAAATAAAATCAGTATATATATTGCCTTGGCTTTTAATGAGTCTAGATAACAAGGTCTACTTTTTAAATTGGATCAGTGAACTAATTAATGTTTAATTTATTAAGATGCACTTGTGTTTATTTAGTCTGTTTTTCACATTATGCTGTTTATAAACTTTAATATTTAACATACTAAATAAACCTTTAGAGGAGCCTTTGGGTTTTTTGCATGGTACTGTCGGATCTACTACTGTAACTCGGCTGATCAATAAATTTGCATCAGACATTATAAAAGTTATTTTCTGTTCACTGTAAGTTTAGACTATTTTCATAAATAACTTGCCCAGAATCAAAATGTGTTCTCTTTGATTCTTTATGTGGAAAACTCAAATGCACAGAAATGGTTCCTTTTCTTCTTCCAGGTGGGAGAAACGGTTGTTCAAATCCTGCAGGGGTTTACACAAGCGTGACATTTCAGCACACAGAAGTGAATTTAGTTCTTGGCTGCACCTCCAGACCTCTGGCACCAAGAATATTTCATCTTTCAAAGATTCGTCACAGAAGCTTTAGCGTTAAAGCACTCTGTTGGGAAATGCATGTCATGATGCTGAGCATTACATCAGTCCTGCAGATGTTGCTGGAGATTTCAGGTGGAAATCTCAAGCAGTTCTTTGCTGACGTTAACAGAGACCAACGCCGACATGATTTAAGGGTGAACTTTGTAAATGTTCCGTTAAAAGGATGTTCTGTCCCGGATATTCAAACCCCCAGACATATCTGTGGTTTGCTTCTGCTGCCTGTCAGACGTGTTTATAATGAAGGAAGCCGGCGCTGCGTATGGAATTAAAGGTGCTCACAATGTGTATTATTATGGTGTCACAGCTGTAAAAAAGGTGCAAGTATTTTATGCCAAGTGTGTCAAATTTATAATTTTTCTTCCATTTTGCACTCTGTGATCTGCAATCTATGTCCTGCGGCTCAGAAATGTAATTGGGTTTTTGTCTTTGTGACACCTGCTTCAGGGTTTTTTGTCAAGATAATTATTAGATTTTACCGTTGAACAACTTGTTCCCCTCCTTGCCTGTGGGGACACTGTATGAAGATCCTTAACCTCTGAAGAAGACGCTGAGCTTCACTGCTTTCTTTACATAATGAAATGTCAGATTTTAGGTTCTTCCCACCAGCGCTAGCTTAGCATGTTTGGTTTGGTTGTATTTACTAAGAAAACAAGTGTATTAGTTTTGTCTTTTTTCATATTTACTAATGTACAAGTAACTTTTCAGCAGGAAATGGGGAAGTTGTTTTAATTAAATAATTCCTTAATATTTGTGAAAAAGTGTTTGTACTGATATTTTATTTATAACATGAGGAAAATGTTTTGGAACTAGAACTTCTTATAAATACTAATGTATTATTGACTTAAAATAAGCTTGTATATTTCTCTGAAAAGTTGCTTATAAGTTAGTTTTACCTTATTTCTAGTGTACTGAGATATTTGCACTAGAAATTTGACCAAAATACTTTAAGATTTTGTGTTTTTGCAGTGTAACTTTGAAAACAACGTAAAGGGTTCTCCCATCTGTCCTACCAACTTCTGTTTTGGTTTTGTTTTAAAGATTAGTTCACAGTTTTATTTCACATAAAATCCTACAGGATCAGTGAATAAGCCAGGATTTTTTTCGGTTTTTGATCATGTCTGCTTTTAAATATCGGGATTCTTTCTACTTGAGATCATTACTTTGACTTGAAACGATGGATGCACCGATTGCAGTTTTCTAGTCGATTGCAGATTGCCGATCTTTCTTGTTGAAACAGGAAGTAGCTGCCTGTTGTGAAGTTCTGCTGACACTTTTTGAAGAACCTGTTCTGTTTGTTGTGCCAGACCAGCTGCAGAGCCGGCTGAAGGACTACGGCCTGGTGACGCCCTTCAGCACCGACTCCCACGGCCACTTCCTGTCCCACCTGCTGTCCGCCACGCACAAGCAGCGCGTGAGGAGGGACGCGTTTCCCTCCGAGTCCGAGCAGAGACTCTTCTTCAACATCACGGCTTTCGGGAAGGAGTTCCACCTGCGCCTGCGGCCCAACGACCGGCTGGTGGCGCCGGGGGCGATGGTGGAGTGGCACGACGAGGTTCAGGGGTTCAGGAACGCCACAGCGGGCGCCAACCGGACCGACGCCACAGAGAGGATTCTCCAGCGTGAGCTGCTGAAGACGGACTGCACCTTCATCGGTGACATCACCGACGTCCCCGGAGCCACGGTTGCCATTAACAACTGCGATGGACTGGTGAGTCCCTCTCGGCTGTAAAGCCCTTCGCTTCTCCGTCTCCTGAAAGCCTTTCTTTTCCCCACAAAGCTCCATGACCTTATCAAGTGCGGTTAGGGATTGTGGATGTCTGTAACTCTTGAGCTCAGCCTTTCTTTACGTCAGCACTCGGCGTTTTTATGGCACATTGTTTCTGGAGACACCCTGTGACGGGCAGGAGTTTAACGGGTGACTGCTCACAAACACAGGTTTCCTCCAGACCTGCCCAGCATAAAACACAAGTTCCTATTGCGCCTGACAAACGTCTCCTTCCTATCAGCCCTCGTAAAACATCTGAATGGGAATCTGGGAACAACTCCAGCCAGAACCTCTTGGAGTGGAGTGAAGCACTCCAACATCTCCATATTTAGGAACAGAATCAGTCGAGTTCCCAGCTTTAAAAGTTACAGCGTCTGCATTTTAATGGTTTAGGGGTTGATGGAGAAGTTAATGTCAAGTTAAGCCACTTATGTGTTTCAAACAAATCTAAATCTCTTTAGATTTCCTCAAGCAGCCAGCAGGAAACCTGGAAACAAAACATGAAAATATAAAAACGCTGGGAAATATGAAAAAGCTTCTGCACCGAATCGCATTGAAAACCTCCTGTTATTCCACCAAATGTTGATTCCTGAACTCTTCCTGAGTTAAAACATTACTACTGTTGAGTCTGAATGAATATAAACTTGTTTTCTTTGCATTATTCGAGCTCCGCATCTTTTCATCACTTTGACCATTTCTCATTTTTTGCAAATACAAAATTTTTGCTTGGAATTTGGGAGACATGTTGTCAGTAGATCATAGAGTAGAAGAATGACATTAATTTTACTCAAACATGAACCTATAAAGAGTGAAATCAGAGAATCTGTTCAAACAGTCCAACCAGACTTCCAAAGACGTTTCCATCGATTTACTTTGTGTTTCTGTGAAGTTGGTTGTTTCTGGTGATGCGTTTAGAGAAGATGATGCTGCAGAGGTGAAGGTGAACGTTGCCCTAGCAGCACTATCTCTGTGGATGGGTCATGCTGTTCTGCTTTTATTTTGAAATGCATGCTTTAATTTACCAATCTATTAATAGGAATGAATTATTAAGTAATTATTTCCATGATTTCCTTGCAGATGAACTTGTTTCCAGTTCATTTCCACGTCCGTTCTGGGAGGTTTTCTGCCCAGTCAGTGTTCTGACTCCAGACAAGTCGCTGCTGTTTATGTTGCCTGTTGTGATAAATAATTGCTACATTTCTGTAACTCCTGCTTCTGTTTTGTGCTGCAGCAGCAGGAGATGCATGTTTCTGAAAACACCAAACCAGAACCAGGAGCTGCGTTTACTCGTTAGCAGGAATCGTTTATTGATGGGTTTGCTTTCCGCTGGAACGTATTTAGTGACGGAAACACCAGAGTTTTCATTAAAAAGCATTTTGTGACATTCTTCAGTGTGGCGTCTTTGCCCAACTTAGAGATTGAAATGCAACTTACTTTGGTGCTTCTTTGAGAAAATGTGGATCTTCCACACCTTAGTATTAATCTCTAAGTGATTAGCAAAGTTTGCACAATGACTTGTATAATCTGCCTGATTTATGGGTGTGTTTTATTGCTCCACCTTTAGCAGCAATAAATCTGTCAGTAGCTGTTTACTGTCAGATTTGATCTGCTGCTGCTGTTGCTGTGCAGGAAATGTGACTCATCTGTAATTATTGCGTCACTTCTTCAGACACTTCAAACATTAATCTGTTGCATGAAAGCTGCTTCTCCTCGTTTGGTTCTGGTTCTGGGGATGCAGAGCAGAACCAGAACCAGTGGAGCGACTTTAAAACCGGCGCCATGTTTTCCATCTTCCTGGTTTCAGTCAGAACTGCAGCAGCAGCTTCTGGATCAGCTGCAGCTGATTGATCGATTTGTTGGACAGACCTGCGAAGACGCTGCTGCAGCAATCGATGCGACTGAAGACAAAGGCACGGAGGATTTCACGGTCGACCGAGTGATCAGGCCTGTCGCAATATCGATCGGAATAATCAATTAAAACAAACTCAATCATTTCCACTTTTGACTTTAACCCCCTGCAAAAACACAAGATCAAACCAACGGGCAGATTTTCCATCACATAAAAAAAAATTGTTGAGGCATAAAATATTCTGATTATCTGTGTCTAAAACACGTTTTCTATTGGTCAGCACCGATCATTTCTGATTATTGTTTTAAATGCTGCCAAGCCGCTGATGTTAAGTTTCCTGTTTCTTCCACAGTTTTTACGCCGCAGTTTTTTATTTTCAAGCAGCTGTGAGAGACGATGGCCGAAACTAACACTGTTGCAGGTGACTCAGCAGGTTGTTGCTAGGTAACCGAGGTGACTCAGCAGGTTGTTGCTAGGTAACCGAGGTGACTCGGCAGGTTGTTGCTAGGTAACCGAGGTGACTCGGCAGGTTGTTGCTAGGTAACCGAGGTGACTCAGCAGGTTGTTGCTAGGTAACCGAGGAGTGAGTGTGTTCCTTCAGGCCACCAAGCTAGCTTAGCTTGTCGGGGTTGAGCAGCTAATGTCTTTACTCTGCCTACATCTCCCAGAATGCCGTGCAGTTCTGAATTGAATATTGTATCAACGATTGATATCGATCACGTGTTTATTGTCTCATATATTGATATGGTCAGAGTATTGGGTGAGCAGCGCCTCGGTTCTGTTTTCTGACTGTTCATGAGTCAAACAGCAGAGACGGATCGTGTTGCTATTTGCTCTCAACGACATGATGCACAATTAACTCAGGCTTCAAATCAACAGGGGAACAAAATACATTTCTAAAATGTCTGGATCTTTGCTCTCTGAACGGAGGATGTTTGACGGATTCTTCCAAAGCTTCCTGTTCCTGTTTGGGAACAGAGCGTTCATAAGAGACGTCTCTAAACGCACAGTAGCGTGCCTTTAGAGAGACGCTGCTGTGCAGGCTTCACTCGCTTCGTTCTGAGGATGAACAGGTGATCCGCACCTGACTTCCTGCCAACGTGACGCCGTCATGGCCGCCTGGCAGAACGCAGGTGAAGCTAGTTGTTAATGTAACACAGTTGAGAAGGGTACAATATTATTATTAATATTAATATGTTTTAGGTAGATGGGCCAATAGGTTCGGCTGTCGGAGCACGATGGGTGTTTAAATGACACACATACACAGTTGAGTGAATTTAAAAAACAATTAGCTTTAGTAACATGAATCATAAACTCACAAGTGGACAAGACACTTGTGAGTTTATGATTCACATAATAATAATATTATGTAAATTATATAATAAAAATAATAATATTTTTTTATTAAGAAAATAAAATTACACACAATAAAATACATGAAATAAAACAACAATACTTGGCCAAGTGCTAAATATCAAATTTAAATCTATTGGGTGCACCCTGGTAGTTTGCGCTCTAATCTCTTTTAGATGACAAATGAATCAAATTAAATCCTGGTTCAGGTCTCACTCAACATGGGAGGAAATCCAGATCTTTCTAAGTCCAGGTGGGAAGGCTCGCCATCAAAGTCAGTAGAGGAATCCACTCCAGGAACAATCCAGGAGAAGAGAAGAAAAAGCAAAAAACAAAAACACAAAAAAAAAAAAAACCTGATCTGTCAACAGACAAGACCAGCAAAACATAGAATTATTATTAAACCATTCTAGCTTATTATGTTTCATAACTGTTTGAAAAATCCTTTTCCAAGAATAATAAAACATTACATTTTACACAAACTCAGCAAAGGTTCCTGTTTTAATAACTAAGTAGGTCAAATAAAGATCATTATTTGACAACAAGATAAAAGAACAAAAACCAAATGAAAGGTACAAAATATGCTCACCGATCTCAGTGCGGCACGTTCAAAACAACTAGACAGGGACTCTCATTCCAGACACGGAGGGCACTAGACAGTGTAAAATGCATATTTTTTAAGTTTTAACTTAAAGAAAATGAATTAAGTAAAATAAAAATACATTATTTATATAGGCTTTACCTTCAGTTGAACTGAAAACAACTGCCAATCAACTGCCAGAAAGTGCAACAGTTCCAACTGATCTTAGTGGTTCTAACAGCAGAAAAACTGAAGTTCAGTTTTCTGAAACTTATCACTCTTTCTAACTTATAAGTTGGATTTAAACAATAACTATTTACAAAAAAAAATTCCTTCAAAGTCAATAAATGATATTAGAGAGAAACCAAAAGACTCTCACTCTGGCTCAGCTGTCTGATCAGGGTCGGATCTCCCGCTCACAATCAACGCTGCCAACACGGGAAAGAAGGTGGAGCCTCTGTGGCATTCCGCTCTCTGATTGGTCTAAACATTCATGGGAATCAAACTTCCCATTGGCCAGGCAGACTACCCCGCCTACCCAATCTCTATTTCCCAAAAGGCTATCCCCACTTTATGTGGGTTACACCAAAACGGCGCCTCAGAAAAAGAAAACGCTGCTTTCTTTGACATTTCACAAAGTCATAAATATTTTCTCTCCAACGCAAATCATCAGTCCAGGAGTATGAATGTAATTAGTTTAACTAACAAAGTACAATTAAAATGAAAGAAAACCATGGATTTCCTGGCCAGGTTGTAAAATGTTCTGTTCATTTTTAAGTCTGTCATTAATGATAAAATTATCAGTCATTTAATAGTTAGAAATTACATTATCAGATGCACCAAAGTATAAAGTCATGTGAAAATGTTAATGACAACAATTCATAAAAGTAACAAACATAACAAAATCAGGCCAAAGAAAAGATTTCCAAATCAGATGTTTTTAAAATATGAAACTTAACCTAAAACTGCAGGTTTTTGTCTGTCTGGTGAATTTTTGGTTAAAACATGTTTGTTTTTCTTTCAGTGGGTAAAAAATCCAGAAATACTTCATAATAAAATCACTCAGTAAGAGTAAAAAGTGCAGCGTAACAAAAATACTCCTGAAAGTTACTCAAGAAAATGTAAAAAGTTACATTTAATATCATTTATATCTTTTAGTTAATTGACATCTGCAATCCTGTAGCTGGTTAAGATTAGAACTGTAACAATAGTTAAAAATTGAGATAAAAATAGTCAGTAATTTATACCAAACCTGAAAAATCCATGAATATCATCAGATAATCATGTATCATCCTGTGATTTATGAGACCTATCATTATTTTAAAACGTCCTGATCAATGGCAGCAGCTCTTCAACGACCTCATCATTGATTCGCTATAGAAAAGGTTGATGACTAAAACAAAACGCTGAGATCTTGAGTAGAAGATATTGTTTAGAAAACATTAAAAAGATGAAAATATTTTGCAATAAGCAACATAAATGTCAGTTTGTCATAAAGTCAGTTTTTGAGAATTTTGCAGGAATATGAAGTTTCATTCAAACTGTGTTTTAGTACCTGATGTTTGGTTTAATGTATTGCTTTGTGCCATGAAGCTCCACGTCGCCCACGGCTGCACAGAGCACAGCTGACCTTGAGCTGTTTATGGATCCCCGGCTTCATGATTACCATAAAATAATAGTCTGCATCTTTTCAAAACGTCGACAGTCGTTTTTGACATCAACCTGCTGACCTTCAACATGCAGCTGTGCAGCAAAGCACTTACAGCAAGATTTTCTTTCTGAAGAGGAAACAAAAAGAGTCTGAATTTGATTTGCTTTAAACTAACTTTGAGGATGTTAACGTTTTCAAACTCGGAGCTTTCTGCAGTTCAAGTGAAATGTTGAATGTGGATAAAACATTTGAAACCTTCGGCATAAAACATTATAACCAAGGTGTGTTTAGAAAAAGCTGTTTTTGTTTAAAGTAATTGATTTATCTTAAAAAATCTCAGATTTGTGGTGCTTGTTTAAACATTTTAAGGCTCCATATTGACTGAAATGCATCAGATCTGGAGATGAAATCAGAACGGTTATTAAAGTCTCAGCGCCGTACAGAGATGGTCCATCAGCTTACTGGACCTTTTGAACATTTCTCTCATAGATATATGTACCTCAGCTGGTACATATATCTAAATATGTTCCTCAAAGACAGAAATTTACGTTGAATATGAATGAAAAACTTCAGAATTTAAATAGAAAAATTATATCAGTCCTAACTGTACTAAAATAGAAAAAAATCACATAATTTATGTTAAAAGATTTTATGAGGGACAGTTTTCTAAAAATCCTGGGCTAATGTCAGCATGTTTTGATATGACTTGTGTCAAAAAATCCCAGATCATCCCACTCAGGACAGAAAAGCAAACTATATTACCTTTTACCTTGAGTCTGTACGGCTAAGCTAGCATTGAAGAAATGCCCAAATTATTATGTTAAATTTGGAAATCAAGTAAAAAAAATAATTGTGAAAAACTATATAATTTTTTTTGCACTTGAAGAAAATGTTTTAGCAGTTAAACCAGTTAATAATTCAAAGCAATCTTTATTGGTCAATCCTGAATTATTTTTCAAATCTTAAAGAAGTTTTTAAAAGTATTTTATTCGTCGCTTCCTGTTTTGTTTTTCTACAACCTGAAATCAAGATCCAGACTAGATTCAGTTGAAATCCAAGAACCAAATGGAAAAAATAATTTACACTATGTGACTAGAAAGTCTAAACATTAAGCTTTTAAAATATGTGTATTTAAATGACATGAAGAACAAAGAGATGAACATCAGCTGTTGGAGCAAAATAAGGAAAATGTCTGGAAATGCCCTTGTTAGACTATTAACAATATTTTGTAAGACATGCCTTCATAATCTATTTTTTTTGGACAGCACGTTTCAGCAGTAAGGCAGTTCAGAGAACTTTCCACCATAAAACACAAAAATAAAAACTCATCAAAACAATGTGCAGTCAACACATTGAGTGTCAAAATCATCAAAACACGTCAAATATGTTGGTGAATGTTGCATTTATTGTGGTTAAAAACGGGATTTTACCCTGGATTTAAAGGAAGTCAGTGTTTCAGCTGTTTTGCAGTTTTTCTGAAGTTCCAGTTTGTGGAGCACAGAAGCTGAATTTTGTCAAGTTTTCTTTAGGAGTGCACTGATTGCAGTTTTCTGGCCAATCTCTGATTCTCGATGTCTGAAAAGCCTGACAGGCCGACTCCGATTTGTTTTTGTCTGAAATGTCGTTAAATATAGCAAGAAAATGTCTGAGTTGGGCGACGATAGTTAACCGTAAATGTGCAGACATGACCTGGTGGTTATCAAACCTCTCGCAGCAGAAGAACACAGTGGTTGGTTTTTACACCTTTGCTGAGGCAAATAAGATCAAGAGGTAAGATCAGCTTAAGGAAATCGGCTCCAATAAACTGGCTGGCCGAGGAATCGGTGCATCCCTCGTCTGCAGTTCTGGTTCTGGATGCAGAGCAGAGCAGACGTGATAAATTTAATATTTCTTTATTTTTGGATTCCATCACATTTCCTGTCCTAAAGCCTTCGGGGCGACTTTTAGGAAGAACAATTTGTAACGTACCTTCCTATTACTGCCACATAATTTGTACGTTTGCTTTGACGCGGAACGTGAACGGCGCTCCTTCCTTCAGATCGCAGCCCAGCAGCGCTGCTAACATCAAACAGTCACCAAATCAGGGGTTTCTGATGAAAAAGCTGGTGGCTTTGATCTCAAGTGGCAGCTCTGGCCCAAGGTAGGTGTGGGTTTTACTGTTTCTTAATTATAGCCAGTCTGCAGTCTGGAAGTCTTTACTGCAACAAGCAGGCAGCCCGGCGGCGAGATGCTTATGAGGCAGATCCTTCTGCAGCGTGGCTGACCTCCCGCTCTGGTCGGTGTGGGCGTCGGCCTCCATGCTGCCTCGTGTCAGCTGTTCTTCAAACAACATAAAACATCTGACGCTTTTAAATTCTCTATCTGCTCTAGTTGTTTTGTGATTCTGTTATGATCACAATGGCAGGCGAATCAGAACATTTCATTTGTAGATGAATAACTTCATGAAAAGTTGTTTGCCTGCATTTCTCAAGTGAAGTTTTAAAAAATGATCACTTTTCAAAAGCAGTCACTGGGCAGCCAATAAATCAATTAACTCGTTTAATCCCATTTTTTCTAACTTTTGGAAGCTCTGAAAGTGTTTTGGCTTTTAGGTGCTAGGTGAAGCTTTAAAATAAGACAAGCTCCATAGTTTCCATTTTTATCATTTCAATCGTTTTCTCTTTTCTCTCTTTCTCTCTTTCTACCAAAACCTGGATGAAGAAAAGTCTTCAGTCTGGTCTTTGGGTCTCAACCAACAGATTTTATAATTGATTGTATTTGTTGTTTTGCTTATTTATTTCCATATTTAAAATGTTCATTAAAATTTTCAGTTTATTTATCTTAGAGAATGTGTTCACATTTTATCCCATTGTTCCCATTACGTTACCTGAAGATGGTCTCAAAATAAAACCATCGTTTATCATGGGAACAATTGGAAAGACAGGAAGTTTGGTGTTGTGACAGTTCTTACAGTCAATCAGTGTTTCAGCTGTTTTGCACTTTTCTAGAAGTATTTATAGATTGGAAGAAGAAACTGAACTTTTATATTTTACTGCAAAAGATTGTGACATGATGATCAGCCATGTTTAATTACCAGACATCAGGATCGTATATTTACAGATTTGAAGCGTTTTGCTGCTGGACTTTATCATCTAACGGTTCGGATTTGCACCAGGCAGTTTGGAAACGACATGATGAATTTCCTCTGAGGCGATCTGATGCTTTTTGGAAACCTCCTTACATTTTTTGCTGGAGGAAACATTCTGACCCTCCGCAGGCCTCTTTTATCTCCTCTGCGGTTCTGGTTCTGCTGTTCAGCAATGAGCAGATAGTGCACGGTTTGTTTTCCTGCAGCCTGGAGGACAGAGATCACTGAGGACGAACCAAAACAGAAGGCGAGAGGCGTAAACACCGTAGGGGGAAAACAACTTCCTGGCAGCATTCGTGAATCTCCAGAGCTCACAGATTCATGTGTCATTTCTTCCAAGAACCAGCAGAAACTTTTGTTAGTTGAACTCTGGATTATTCCTGGATTATTTAGAAAACCTGGCAGTTATCCAGGAATCAGAATTTGCCAATTCTCCCTTGATTGAAATCAATCAGTGATTGGTACGCTAACTTCTGAAAAATGTATCATTTTTTTGTATTCATTCTACAAATGTATGAATCAACTGGATGTATTGGATGGATGTTTTGAGTTAAATGCATCTTTATCTGGTTCTTGTTTGTCTCTGTAGAAAACATAATGTGATCCCCAGATTAACTAACAGATGCTATTGAACTAAAACTGACAGCCTGACCTGCTTCCTGATTCATTTCCTTGGTTCTATGTTTCTTACTTCTGTAGAAACAAAGACCAAGATGAGAGTGTGAGGGAAAAAGTAACATCCGATGTTAGTTCTGCAGAACATTTTCTGCTCTCATATAGTTCAATGGTTCACATAGTT